AATAATTAGAGAGTCAAAAGTCAACACCAGAGGAATAATAATAACAAAAAGTGTACAAATATTGACATTTGCAAATGATGTTAATATCATAGCTAGAAGCAAAAGAGAGATGATAGAAGCATTTACTGTGATAGAAAGAGCGGCACAAAACAGTGGCTTAAACATTAATGAAATAAAAACCAAATGCATGAAGGCCAGCAAATCGACAGGCCAAAGAAACCTACAGAATATGACAATAGGAGACTATGACATCGAAAGCGTGAAACATTTTACATATCTAGGTTCACTAGTTACGTAGTAAGTTAAGGGAAGAATACATATCGCTAATAAAATATATAATGGACTTATTAAACATCTAAGATCTAATAACAAAACAAAGCAAGGAACAGAACAGAATGGCGGAAAATCCTAGAACAATCTAGGACCCAGAAAGGGTTATCGAGTTACTGATGATAATGATGAGCCATGATTAGGCTTTGCTGAAAAAATATTCAGGTGTTTACGAATTAGGCTTTCTAAAATTTAACAGTTTTTGAAGTAGCTTCTGTAATATTTTGTTCTTCTGAGGCCTAACAGATACCGTATCACGTTTTTTATTGTAATTCATAAATAACATCAGATTGGTCAGCTCTACTAGAACCCCAAAAAAGAAGACCATATCGAAGATGATACTCGAACAAAGAAAAGTTATTATTTTGGAAGATGCTAAATTAATTTCCTTCGAAACAGATCTTATTGCATGGCAGGCTCATTCTAGTTTTTTATTTAACAATGTGAAAAGTGACCATTTCAGGTTGCTGCTTATAAAAATACCAAGAAATTTTACAGAATTAACCAAACTAATTGCTGTTATTAAGAAGCAAGAATTGAAGAGCTCCTTTATAGAATAATGCTACTATCTTATTCACAATTCGCAATATCCCAAAAGATTGGTTACTTTCAGAATTTATTACCTTACCAAAGAAACAGGGAGCAAAAAAGTGCGGAGAATATAGGCTAATAAGTCTAATGAGCCATACATTAAAACTTTTTCTTAAAATTATACATCGTAGAATATACAAGCTATGCGAAGAGAGAATACAAGACACACAGTTTGGATTCATGAAGGGCGTAGGTACAAGAGATGCACTGTTTAGTCTACAGGTATTATTTCAAGATGCAGAGATATGACTTGCGATATTTACACCTGCTTTGTGGACTACCAAAAAGCATTTGATACAGTTCAACACCAAAAAATGATGGATATTCTAACAAAAGCCCAAATGGATGATAAAGATCGGCGTATAATACAAAATTTATACTGGAACCAATCAGCCACAATAAGAACGAATTTTGGAGGTGAACCAACGGAAATGATCCAGAGTCTACGAGGCGTTAGACAAGGTTGTATACTTTCACCTATATTATTTAATCTATATTCAGAGGAAATATTTAGTGAAGCCTTGGAAAAATGCGAACATGGAATACTTCTAAATGGAGAACGCCTAAACAACATCCGTTATGCAGATGACACCGTTATTTTTGCAGACAGTTTGAACAGTTTACAGCAACTAATAAACAAAGTAAATGAAGTAATTGAAAGATTTGGACTTCAAGTAAATATAACAAAAACTAAATTTATGATCATCAGCAAAAATAAAGTTAGAGACGCTCAACTACTTATCAATAATACACCAGTGGACCGAGTAAAACGGTATAACTATCTTGGAACAACAGTAAATGAACAATGGGATCACTCACAGGAAATAAAATGTAGAATAGAGAAGGCTAGGAGTGCATTCAATAACATGGCCAAACTCTTTAAAAGCCACAATCTTAATCTGGAGATAAAAGTGAGGCTCCTACGATGTTATATCTTCTCAATATTGTATTACGGAGTTGAATCCTGGACACTTACTGAAGCAATGGAGAAAAAACTTGAAGCCTTCGAGATGTGGCTATACAGGCGAATTCTAAGGATATCATGGACAGACAAGATAACCAACGAGACCGTATTACGAAGAGTGGGCAAAGAAAGAGAGGTGATGTATACCATTAAAAAGAGAAAGTTGGAATATCTCGGACATATAATGAGAAACAGCACTAAATACAGATTACTGAAGGTAATCCTACAGGGTAAAGTATTCGGAAAGCGAGAAATTGGGAGAAGGAGAATATCATGGTTGAAGAACCTGAGGAAATGGTTCTCCACAACAACAACAAATCTATTTAAAGCATCAGTCAATAAAATAATTATAGCCAGAATGATTGCCAATATTCGGAACGAATAGGCACTGAAAGAAGAAGAATCTTATTCACGTTAAAAAGAATAAATTAAAATCTGACCAGGTTTTTATTGTAAATAGATTAGAAGTTATAGTTGCAAGAGCAGTTGAAGTATTAAAGTTGCTTCACAGTGATAGTGGTATCATCGACAAAAAGAAAAAAAATTCTGTTGATTTTTAAATAAGCAATGTAATTTTTAAAGATAAAGAAAACGAGAGGACTTATTACTGAACCTTGTTGTACTTCAAATGCAATGCTTTTATGATTAGAGTCAGTATCATTTGCTCTAACCAGTTGTTAACCAATAAGATTGGAACCAATTCGAAGAAATACTTCGGAATCCGTAAAAATTTAGTTTTTTTTTTCAAAATGTCGTGATTTACACAATCAAAAGCTTTGGCATACTCACAAAAAACAGTGGCAGTGCAAAGATTATTGTTTAATGCTTGTTAAACCTCATGTAGCACAGATAAAAATCCGAACTGATATTGCGATAAAATTATGTTTTCAACAAGAAATTACATAAGTCGGGCTTATATAAGTCTCTCAATAATTTTGGATAGAACCGGTCATAAATCAATAGATCTATAGTTGCAGACATTACATTTTTCACCACCCTTATTAAGAGTAATAATAATGGCTGTCTTTAGATACTGGAAATATACCTTTTTCAAAAGAATTATTAATTAGGAGACCAGACTTCCAGGACATTTTTGGGAAATTTAAGAAATTTTTTATGGGTATATATTTCATCAAATTGTGTTATCATCAAATTAAGTTGAGGGTATTTTAGAAGGATTTTCTAAGGATTGAGTTTGGGGTTTCTGTTTTGTCGAATCTGCCTAAATCAGTATTTAATATTGGAAGATTTTGAATCCATGAAGCTGTCTTGGGGATGTGAATAGAAGAAGTATTGGAAAGGTTGATGGAATCTAATAAAGGAGATAATATTTGTGGTAATGTGAGAGACTGATTGGATGCGTTTGCTGGGGAAGGTTCTATGGGATTGATTAGATTTATTACCAGGTTACTTTGGTTTGCTAATATTCTTGCAAAGCATAAAAGTGGAAGCTGCTGCCTTCGTAGATGGAGTGGTGGCTCTGAAGATTCAACGCAAACACTTAACTTTCAGAGGAGCCTGATTTGAAAGCACCAAGGCATAGTCGTAGGGATGTATTTTGAATCGTGTTTAGAGACTTTAGTAGGGAGCTCCTAGATGCCATATAAAGAATACTGCCATAATCTAGCTTAGAGCGAATTAACGCTCTATATATTTTAAGGAGAGGTTCTTCATCAGCTCACCAAGAGAAGCTAGCAAGATATTTAAGTAAATTGATTCTTTGGGTACAGTTTTCTATAATTTTCTGAAAATGCTGTCTCCAGATAAACTTTTTATCAAAGATGATACCAAGAAGTGTCAAAAAATTAACTGTTTGTAAACAAAGTCCGTTTAGAGTTATAGAAGGTGGATTAGGTCTATGCTTTTTGGTAAACTGTATTACTTTGGATTTAGGAGCTGAAAACACAAATCCAGTACGCGTAGATCAGGTGTCTATTTTGTTTATTGCATTTTGTAGCAAAGTGCTGCTGGTAGCTGTAACTTTGCCTTGGCAGTATAATATATTATCATCAGCATATATCGAGTACCTGACTGGTGGTTCTATTTTATATATATATATATATATATATATATATATATATATATATATATATATATATAAAGAAAAGTCATTCATGATAAGTAAAAATAAGGTAGTGCTTAAAACTGAGCCCTGCGGCAAACCATTGTCCAAAGAATGGGGTTTTGATATTTTTCCATTTGTTAGTACTCTAAATATCGATTTGTTAATTTTTTTTTTAAATAAGTAAATGTTACCAGTTAAATTACATTCCGTTAATTTTCTTAGAATTAGATATCTTTGTACAGTGTCGAAGGCACTTTGGATATCTAAAGTTAACAGGAAGATTTGCTTTTGATACTATTTATTGTTTGGATCAGTTCAGATTTATTAACATGATCTTATAAAAAAATAATTTTAGACGTTGTTTGAAAAGAAATTTTATCATATTGTGGCAAAATGATTGATTTTATATTTTTACCCATATTAACGAAGTTCTCATTTAGATTTTCAAAGTTGGGAACGGAAAATGTTTGAGTTATGATAGTTTCATTTCTAAAATCGTTTATTATGGATTAAGTTTCTTGTACAACACTTTTTAGAGCTTCCCAGATGATTTGGATATTATGCTGTTTTAACTGTTTAGATATATATATATATATATAATATATATATATATATATATATATATATATATATATATATATATATATATATATATATATATATCTGTACTTCGTGATATACCCATTCAGTAACATAGACGTTGATAGTAAATTTCTTAATGCCTAGAAATGCCTTATCGAAAATACAAACAAGGTTTCTAAAAAATCACTGAAATTATAATCCACGTCCATAGAAGAAAAGTGCCACTTAGAAATCAAGCATAAATTTTGGAATTTACGAAAATATCCTAGTTAAATATGTTTTTAGTGGAGGGTTTGGTGAGAGTGTTAAGCTTATTAATATATTGTAAAGCAGACATCAAGGGGTGAGAAATCTAAGACAATATCATCAATTATAGTGTTTTAGTAATTCTTGTAGGAGAATTAACGTGCACCATACGATTTGAACATATTGATCAAGGAGCTAATAACTAATTCTTGGCATACTTACATTTGTTAGTTGGCCCAAACCATAGGGAAAATAAGTCTTATTTAAATAAGGGTCCAATGGATACAGTTCTTCCTCTCCATTGGGCGTTCTATTGCCGTGTCGAAACATCTGTGAAAATAACAAATTGCCAATAATAATTCATTGTTTGATTATATATCATTGGTAGGAGATTTATGCTTTATTATATGCTATTTTAAATATATCTATAGTCTTTATTACTACCGAGATGAAGATTTAGCATGTAGATTGATGAGAGATACGTAGTAAAAAAGTATGATAAGAAGATAGAAATGTAATTCTAAAGCTAGTTTCTTGTGAGAAGAGGACATTTTTTTGGAACCACTTAATAGTCTGCAAAAACTGTTTGCCTTCTGCATTCTAATGCTTCCAAATCATGAATGGTATGGTTGATTGTTGCAGATCCTCTGTTGGAGCTTCTGCATATTATGTCTACATGAAACCTTCTTGAAGTTTTTTTCTTTAGATATATCAAATTTGTATCTAAGTACCACTCCTTTGATGTAGTTTTATGGGTCTGGAGATTTTCTTCATCATTAATTATCTTCTCTTGTCATTTCTTCGTTTTTTTCTATTCTTTTTGTTGGTTTTACTCAAAATAATCGAATTGTCTAACAATTTTGAAATTATAATCATTAATTGGCTTGTGTACCTTAACAACTGTTCTAAATGGTTTGCATATCCGGTATTTTGGTCTCCTTAAAGTTCGTCTATTACAGATATGTTTGCTCTAAAGCCTGCTTGATTTAATTTTGTTTTGCATTTTGGTTTTAATTTTGTTCTTTATCGATATAGTCAAAAATCACCTTGTCTTATGCACTTTTGGACTAGTGAAGCATCAATCAATTTCGAATGTATATTTGTTTAAATTCCTTTACAAAAACAAATATGTTCGATGGTCTAATCCGATAGATACAGATTTAAGTGTTACATATAATTTATCTGAATATTATTTTATACATATTAAATCTTATTACAAATAATTACACCACATTAAATGATCACCACACCAAATTGCGCCATAATTAGACAGTGTCTGTCTCGATTACCCCCCGCTTTATCTTCCGCCAATTTGTCAACCCGCTGACCTCCATAGATGTCAAATAGGAGGATGTTACGTTATTATTCAAAATAGAAAATATTTAATTTTGGAACTAATGATTTTGATAACGAAACGTCAGCACGTTTTAGATCTCGTGAAATTCAAATTTGTTGTTATGAAATAACACGATCGCATAGTCGTGTCACATTTTTGCAATTTTTAATAATAACAACTAATAAATTAAAGATATTCAACAATTTTTAGAAACACCACGTTTTTATTATCTGCTCTATAAATACTCTTCTAGTATGTTTACGTATTATGGTTTCGTTATCTTGCTAAGTGGTTATGTTTTATGACTTTTTTTTTAATTCCTCTCTATTTCTCAATCGAAATAAAACTTTAGAAAGTTAAAAAGAAAAAAGAGAAACGATAAGTAGGTCATGAAAAATCTAAAAGATAAAGAATATAATACGAATATGAGAATAAATGAAAAAATAGCTTAAGAAATTTGGTATTCGTTCGTCATTCTTGTTAATTTAACCAAAAAAGACAAAATGCATGGTTAGAACAGCAAATTTACCAAGATGTAACTTGGAGCTGAAAGGTCAGATAATAGAACAAGTGATAGAGTTTAAATATTTAGGCATCGCATTATCTAGCTACGGAAAGCTTGAAACCGAAGTGGAAGATCAAGGGAATAGAGCAAACAGAGTCGCAGGCTGCCTAAATAAAACAATATGGAGAAATAAAAATATCGGGAAAGAAAAGGCAGAATTTACAAAACAGTCATCATAGGGCCAATAATGACATATGCGGCAGAAACAAGACCTGACACAGAGAGAACAAAAAGGATGTTAGAAATAGCAGAGTTGAAAACACTTTAAAAAATTGATGGTGAGACACATGGGACAGAGCTAGAAGTGCAGATATACGACATAGATATAGATCAAGGTGGAGAACATCAAAAACTGGGTAAGAAATAGAAGAGTAGAATGGAACGATAATATAAGCCGAATGACAACAAATAGAGTAGTAAAGACGGCAAGAGACAGTTCCCCAATAGGAAGACGATCAGTAGAAAGACCATGAAAATGATGGAATAACAAATTACTGGAGGCACATTGAAAAACAGACAGACTCATGTCTCTATAAAAAGAAGAAAAAGAAGAAGTTCGTCATTCATTCTTCTACTTCTTAATTTCTAATATCGATAGGCTTTTTAAAAAGACTGATGATCTCGGCATTGGTTCTTCTTCTATATAGCTCTCCCTCTTTAATACCTCTAAAAATTCTTCTCGATATCTTCCTTTCCCTCATATTTAATTTTTATTCTTGTGTTTGGTTTAGCACCCATGTTTCGCATGCATAGAGGATTGTGGGTCTTAAAACTCATCATCATCATTGGCTTCACAACCCATGGTGGATCTTGGCCTACTCAAGGATAAATTTCCATTTTCTCCATTTCTATTTATACAGAACACGATACTGGTACGTCCAGTACAGAAGGCAATAAGGAAAAGTATTAAGGAAGACATAATATAATAAACTAAAAGGCTGGTAAAAATGCAATCGAAAACAAGAAAAACCATAAGAAAGCAAGAAAAGCATTAATCATTGTGAAGAAGCAAATCGTTGCTCTAACATGCGAGGACACCAGAATTACAGAGAGAGATAAAATAATACAACTCGTTACTAAATTTTACAGCGAACTACACAAAGCCCCTGACACACTCGAAGAAGTAATCAGTAACCAAGAAGATGTAGTAGAAGTCCTTCCGGGAGAAGTAGAATTCTTCTTCTTCTTAAAGTGCCCTCTCCTCAATGGAGGTTGGCTACTACAATTTTAAACTCTTCTCTATCTTCAGCTGTTCTTATTTGCTGTTCAAAATTTAGCCCTGTCCATTGTCGGATATTTCTGAGCCACGATAGTCTTTTCCTTCCTAGGCCTCTCTTTCCCTCGATTTTTTCCTTTCACTATAAGTTGGGCATATTGGTACTTATTATTTCTCAGTATGTGGCCTAGGTATGATGTTTTTCTAACTTTTACTGTGTTAAAAATTTCTCTTTCCTTGCCTATTCTATACAGCACTTCTTCGTTTGAGGTGTGCGATGTCCATGAAATTTTGAGTATTCTCCGGTAGATCCACATTTCAAAGGCCTCCAATTTATTTACGGTTGATGTTTTAAGGGTCCACGTTTCAAGTGCATATAGAAGAGTCGACCAGACGTAGCATTTTGATAAACGTAGTCGAATTTCGAGTTTTATTCGAGAATCACAAACAGTTTTTTTTATTTTTTCGAAAGATTTTCTGGCTGTTCTATACTCGATCTTATTTCTTGATCAGGATTTAGGCTGCTATCGATCCAACATCCCAGGTTCTTAAATCTATTGACCTGTTCTAAGATGTGCCTATTTATTGTGCAAGGTTGTGGTACGTTTTGGTTTTTTCGGATTGACATCACTTTGGTTTTTTTAATGTTTATTTTCATACCAAATTGCTCACAGGTCGAGTTGGTCTTGTCGATGAGTCGTTGTAGACTTGAGTCAGAATCCGCAATTAACACTGTATTGCGGAGTAGAATTAACAATTACAAAAATGAAAAGCGGTAAAGCAGCTAGAATAGATGGTATCACAGCGGAACTACTTAAATACGCTGACAATAGAACCTGGAAAATCTTAGCAGGCATATTTATGAACAGCCTAAGATCGAGATGTATAACAGACCACGGAATACAGCAAACATAATTATCATTCATGAGAAAGGTAGCAAAGAGGATATCAAAAACTACAAACCTATAAATCTACTACCAATCGTATACAAGATATTCACAAAGATCATCAACAACAGATTACCAAAGGCATTAGATGCTGCACAGCCTAGGGAACAAGCTGGCTTCAGAAGTGAATGCACTATCATAGATCATATTCATACAATTCGAGAAACTAATGAGTAGAGCTAAAGAATATGAAAAAAAAAAGAATGGATCAGACAGAAAACCAATATTATGGATGTAATCCATACAATTAAATCTTCAAAATGGCAGTGGGCGGAATATTTAGCGAGAAGAACTGACAATAGGTGGTCCACTAAAATTACACTGTGGTATCCAAGAGGCGTCAAGAGACCAGGAAGACGTCCAAATTTAATATGGGACTATGAAATAAGGAGACAAGGTACAAAATAGCACAGAAAGGCGAATTTTAGACAATCGTGGGCAGATATGAAGAATCAATATGTAAGGGAGGCTACACCATAATCGGTAGGATATGCTGATAATGATAGTGATAATGCTGATATAGAGTGAAAGAAAAAAGAAAAGCAAATTAATAAAATGTCATCAAATGTTAAGTAATTTTGTTTATTTTTATAGCAGCGTTCTCATAAGGATATGCATGTGCGTATATAGTCTTATAGCCTGATAAGATACAACAACTTCATTGTATAATAGGTTTTTTGTTTTCATTTTTAGTGTGTTTTGAGAAATAGTTAAATAAACTCGAAAGCTTAAAAAACCTTAAAGAGTTTCATTTAAAGGCCTGCAAAACCCAAAATATCCATATAAGTATATTAATACTCACCTAGTCATTAATAATTACAAATTATTATAAGTTAAATTTGAATTGAAATAAATTGTTACGTTATTAAATAGTAGTATTCGTTTACTGGACTATAGTACAAAGTATTACTAATAATATCAATAAAAAAAAAGCATAAATCTCCACCAACAAGGAAAAAACAATACTCACCACTACCACCATCTTCAAGCTTCCCTCATCTTCGCCATTCGGAAAAGCCGTGTTGTAATCTTCGTCGCTGAAATCGTTATAGGCGAAACAAAAATTGAAAAGGACGATGTGCAGCAGTGCGCGAGCTAGGACGCTGCCAAAGAAACGGCCCCACATCGTTTTGATCGATCACTTTTTCGAAATCCAAATGACGAGATTTTCTTTCGAACTTTTCGTTTTATATATCGACGAGTCAATGGGACGCGTGATCTTTGCGCTCCGATTTTAGTCCAGGGGTTTTGTAACACTATGACGGTTTCCGCGAAAAGTGATTCGTAAGCGAGTTAAGGCAGTAGATAAGAAGTTTTTCGTGTTTTCATCATTTAATATAAATCATTTTTAATATATTTAATTCGTATAAAGCGTAATATTTATACATTGTATGTTTATTTGATTGGTAATGTAATTAATATAAAATGACCATAATTACACCAAAATAAAAACTCATCGTGATAAAAAGTTGACATTGAACAATATTTTGAATGTAATTACGAAAATATGTCTCTAAAATCAGTGTTGTTAAAGTTACATTGTTATAATTTAATATTTTATATAGAATATAATAATTTTAGAACTTGATAGAAATAAAAGATAGATTGTGGTAACATAGTAAAAACCTGTATATCTCTAGAAAAAGTGAAATCAAACGGTTATAAAATAGTACACAAGTTATTCTACACGATCTTCACATGTCTCTTACCACTTTACAATGAACGCTTTCTAAGCTTAAAAAAGAGGTTTAATATAATTTAATATGGTGGAAAAACCACTATTTTACAATTGATTATTTCTACAACGAACCTGATTTTACTGTTCTGCAAAAAAACAGATTGGATGCATATAAATATAACCCATGAAAATTCGTGTTTACTAACTAAAGTTTATATAAAATTATGAAAAATTATAATGTATATAATTATTAGGATATTGAAATTTACTTACAGTAAATACAATTACTGATTTTATAAAATTCAATAAAATTGAAAAACAAACAATAAAAATAAATGAATCAGTTTTTTATTCAAGAAATAGATAATATATATTCAATGTTCAATAAATAGACAATATTGTTAATGACAATAACATTTACCATGGAAAAGGAATATAATAACACGCTACCTTTCCTGGATGTTTTAATCTCTAAGAACGATACTGGATATGAGACTCAGGTGTATAGAAAACCAACACACACCAATAGATATTTAAAGGGAATAATTAAATCCTTATACGATAGAGCCAAAATTACTTGTTCCAACGAAAATTCGTTCTTGGAGGAGAAACATTTGTTAACATCTGTTTTATTAAAAAATGATTATCCTTTATCGTTTATAAATAAGGAATTTTCAACAATCGATCGAATAGAACAGAACATTTTAGAACGAGATCCTACAGCATACACAAGGAATAATACGAGGAAAATAACAATACCGTACATAAAAGGATTATCAGAAAAACTTAAAAGGATAGGAAATAAATTCAACATTTCAACAACATTCAAAACAACAAACACGTTGAGATCTATTTTGTCCAAAACCAAACCTAACAATGAACAAGAAAGGACAAAGAATTGCATTTATAAAATACCTTGTGAATGCGATCAGTTTTATTTAGGTGAATCATCAAGGCCATTAAATGTTAGAATAAGTGAACATCAATCTTATATTAAAAATAGAGAATTTGATAGATCTCAAATATGTAAACACGCATGGGATAATGAACATAGGGTTCAATGGAATAATTTAAATGTAGTCCTAAAAGAGACGGATGGTAAAAAAAGAAAAATCAAAGAAGCGGCTTTAATTATGCTAAATGAGGCCAATTGTGTCGCAAATTCCTCGGCAGAATGTAGTAGGATCTAGTTACTAATATTGAAAGAGGAAGTTATTAATAAGAAAATACCAGTATTAGTAAGTCAGTATCATGTAGAGGATACATCATTTATGTTTTTTAAATAACGAAACATATAAAATCAGAATTTTGGTGTTTATTGAAGGTAAACGAAATGCACGAACAAATACTTACCATGTCGGGATAGTATTATGAGGTTTTTTTCCTGGTTTTTCCCTCATAATTTACTATGGAATCACTAACAGGAAAATTTTACTGTCATCATGTGATGTGTTTGTCTTTTTAAAGACGAATTATATGCTATGATTTTTTCTGACGGATATTCTCAAGTTAAAGTTGATTTCATGTAATCGAATGAACTATCTTATAAGTAAAGTCGTCCCAGGAGCGCAACTCAAAAATATTGGCAATATCATTTTAAAGTCGTCTACTTAAAAATGCATAATGTATGTTGAATTGTCAATATAAATGAGTCAGATAAAATTAAATTATTAGAAGAATTTTTCACTACGTAACAAAAAACAAAATTTGTTTAATTTACTGTTTGTATTTTGAGAACGATTTCCGAAGAGAAAATTGAAACGTCAATAAACGTATTTTTATCTTTAATTGTGGCTTATTCCCAGTTAAATAGTAATTAATTTAAAATGCCACAAGAAAATAGCGTCAGAACAATATAATTATTGATGAACAACATGGATTTTCTAACGGGAAGTCAACAGTAACAAACCTTGCCAATTACCAAAAATACTTGTTGGGTGCATTTGAGAATAAAATTCAGATCGACAGCGTTTACACTGATTTCTCAAAGGCCTTTGACTAGGTTAATCATAATCTTTTGGTCCACAAACTTCATGCATCTGGCTTTGGTGACCCCATTGTTAATTGGATTAAAAGTCTTCTGATAGGACGTACACAGCAAGTTCGTATTAACAGTTATATTTCAAAAGAATTCCAAGGGGTCTCATTGTGGTCTCTTGTTTTTTAACTTGTTCGTTAACGATATTGGTAAGGCTATCAAAAACTCACACTTTCTGCTATTTGCTGATGATCTTAAGTTATTTCGTTGTATACATAATAAATCGGATAGAGATCTCCTGCAAGATGATGTAAATAATATATGTTTATGGTCAAAACAAAATGGTAAGCTTAAATCCAACTAAATGTTCTTGTATTTCATTTAGTCGTATAAATAATCTAATGGCTAATAGATATATTCTTAATGATGTACTCTTGGATTCAGTTACTGAGATTAGAAATTTGGGTGTATTATTGGATTGTGCATTGACATTTAGAAGCCATTTTCTTAAAATTAAGGAAACAGGATTTCGTAATGTTGGTTTTATTTATCGTAACAGTCATAATCTCTCACCTATTGTATTCAAATTATTGTATTGCTCTCTGGTAAGATCAGGTCTTTAATACTGCTCTGTTGTTTGGTCCCCATTTCATCAAGTATAAATTGATGGAGTGAAGAGCGTTCAGAGGAAGTTTCTAAGATCTTTAACTTTTAAAGCAAATATTAATATAAAAAATACTGAAAATTATTTCATAGATGCCACTGTCAAGACATACCTCTATAGACTAAATCTATCCGAATCAGAACTTTGTGATTGCAATGGTTACGTTGATGATATTAATCATTGGTTGTTTGGATGCAAGCATAATGATGATGCAATTAAATATTTGATGCACACCCTGTCTCAAGAACAAATACCTTTACCACAAAACCAAACTTCTCTTTTATACTGGTCTCGACGAAACCATAAAATACAACAAATTATTTGGGAATTTTTAAAAAGGACTAAGAGAAAAATCTAACTTTGATGAATGAGTCGGCTTGAATGTGTTTAGCAATTATTGTTTTTTTATAATTATTCTTACGTAATATTAAGTACCTCCCTGTAAAATACGATCATTGTTATTAAAAAAATATATATGTATATAAAAAGAAAAAGAAAAAAAAAAAAAAAAAATAGAAAAAAAAAATTTATATAAATAAAATTAAAATATATATTATATATATATATATATATATATATATATATATATATAAATAAAAAATCATATTTAAAAAAAAAACAAAAAAAAAGAAAAATTAAAAAAAAAACGATCACAAAGAAGGCTTGAACCGGGTTTATGTCTTAGCGCTGTGACAATTATTAATTATTAGCATTTAATATTAGCATTTAGTATTATTTGTATATTTCTTATTTGTAAATTAATTTAAGTTGGTTAGGATCCTGAATGAAGAGTTTAAATAGAGGTCAATTTATTGTTTCCACTTCCTTTTTGTATTTTTTTTTTATTTTTATACAACAATACCTATATATGTATGTGCGTGCATAAATTTGTATATGTGCTACGCATGTGTATATAGTATTTAATATTGTAGCAAACAGTCTTTATTATAATACCGTGGCTGAATGGATCAATAATCCAAAGCCATTAAAAAAAAATATTTCATAGATTATTCTATAATAATGTCTCAATTTAACATTGCTATATTGAAGAACCGCTGGTTGAGAGCTGATATGTTATTTTTGTTTAAAATTCTAAACAACGATATTAATTGTCCCTCGTTATTGGCCAATGTACACTTAAACACAATGCATAGAACCCAACACACTGCACTCTTTCATATTTTTTTTCATAGGACTGATTATGCTCGTCATTTTACCTTGTCAAGAATGCTCAGCTCTTGCAATGACCTCCTATTGGATCCTTTCTGCCCAAATCTAATCTAATTCTAATCTAATCTAATTATTAATCCAGATATGTGATACTTTTTTTTAACTTTTGTTATTTGAGATACTGTTTTAATGTACAAATTTTAAATGTTTAATTGTTTCTTTGTTATTGTTTTAATATTTATGGTACATGATCCTTATTTTTTACTATTTTTTGTATTTTATTGAAAATGGTTCTACCGTTGAAATAAATAAATAAATAAATATCTTAATCATCTTAATTCATCATCATTCTGGCTTAACAATCCTGTGTGGGTCCTAGCCCTAGCCTCCTCAAGAATTTCTCTCAAGTCCTCTCTATCCATCGCATTTCTCCACCAATCACGTATTTCCATATTTCTTATGTCTTTATCGATGTTATCAAGGAACCTTGTTCTAGGTCTTTCTCTTCCTCTCTGACCAATTGGTCTATCAATGAGCGTTTTTCTAGTTGTGTCATTTTGTTCCATGCGCATTACATGCGGATGGCACATTTGATGGATTCCTGGTATACTCTATAAAGTTCGAAGGTGTATTGTCTTCACACTCCATTGTCATTCACTACTCTATAGATTCGTCTTGGTACTTTTCCTTCGAAACATCCTA